GGGGGGGGGGGGGGGGGTTACCTATGTGCGATGACCTAAGTAAAATAGAGAGAAAAAAAAAAACTACGTAATTTGTACAATGGTTATCGTTCGACATTTACGAGGGCCCGCGGAAGACTCGTTGATGACCGTACCCCCCGATAATACCGCAAGAAAATGATTGGAGGAGAGGTACCGGCGTTGGTTTTTTACCTCAAAAAGCCCCGGAAAAGGCTACGCGAATACGAGTCGGCGGGACGGAACCGTGCCGAAAACCCCGAATGCCGTGTGTCGTCAACAACAATTACTATTGAAAGTCGACCGCCCGGGGGGTTTGGGGGGAGGGAGGGTGGGGGGGGGCGTTAAATCACGCCGATCGGAACGCCGTACGGTTTATCTCACGGGATTTCTACGTAATGTCGAAACATATATTATTTATCGTATTTATTATTGTTATTATTTTTTTTTTTTTTTCAAAACTATACGGTCGTGAGCGAATTTGGCGGCGCCGGCGGGTAAAGCCGTACGGCGGCGCGAGGGGTGGGGAGGGTGGGGGTGGCGTATGCCGCTAAAATCGATAAAAACGTACAGAAAAATAATGTTTATATTTGTCGCGTTGTAGCAGTAACAGTATTGTGTTTCGCGATCGACGGTCGGGACAGACAGTTTGACGTGGAAAAATCAACGTCGGTCAACGCACGGCGGACGATGGCGGTGGTGGCTGGCGGGTCGCGCTCAGTCCGAGTCGCCGCACGAATCGCTCAGCGACAGGCCGGAATAGCGGCGGCGTCTTTGCCGGCGTCCGTCCGGCGGAAACACCGGGACGTGCGGCGCCCGGCGTCCGGCGGATGCGGCGGCCGTGGCCACGGCCGCCGAGGTGGCCGACGAGGAACACGTGTACGAGTAGTATTTGCCGCGCTTGTTTTCGGCGGCCGCCGCCGCCGCCGTGGCTTTGGCGTCGGCCTCGGGACGGTGCCGCGGCGTCGTCGTCGTCGTCGTCGTTGTCGTCGTCGGCGGCGGCGAACACGGCCGGTCGCTCGAGTCGGTGCTCAGCGTCGTGGTGGACAGGTCGTCTAGGAAGTCAAAGTTGGCGATGGCCTCGCGCTCCTTGTCGCCGTACCGGACGAAAAAGTCGGCGCGGCCCACGATGGACTGCCGGAGCCCCGTGGCCGGGGACCGGAGCACTCCGAAACCGTCCTGGATAGCCGACGCTGGAAAACCGACACGGTTCGATAACACATTAATATTTATTGAATGCTTGGGTACAATTTTATACGGGAGGTCGCGTGATCAAATAGAAAAATAAACGAGTTTTACTACAATCATTTCGAACTGTGCGGCGTGTGTGCGTGCCGTTCGTGAGCACGCGGGTCGCTGCAGTAGTGACAGAAATCCGAATTGTGTCCGCAAAACTCCAGATTTCGATATTAGTGTTTTTCGATTTTTTTTTTATAAACATCTCTATACATTTGAACGATTTAATTTTCGGAATTTAAAGTCCGGATTATTGCCACCAGGATACTATAGACGGCACGAAAATCGGTTTCCCATCCCCGTTCTATCGATACGATCTCCCGGCGATTATCCGCATGTCAGACCTCGGAGAAAATAACGTATTTTCTCCGCTTATTTCGAAAACCGAATTTAAACGTTATAACGACCGTCGCGTCGACGTACCGAGCATTGTAATATTTCGCGACGACCCCCGCAAACGTTCCATTTTCGCCGTACGGTTCGGATTTTCAAAACGGTTTATTATTCAAATTTCGACAAACGAAAAAAAAAAAAACAAACGCAATACGGAAATATAATGCGGATGCACCCCTATATTATGCGGACGGGACGAAAATCCCGTGGGTCTTTGATAAGTCTCGCCGAGTAAAACGAGGGGTTCCGAGTATTATATTCGTGATGAAAATATCGAATTGGTTGAGAAAAAAAAAAGAAAGGAAAAATCACAAGTCGCACGGGGCGGAGGAATAAAC